AGAAGATTCCTGAGTTGCGTCTTCCTTGCGGGCAAGGGGTCGCGACACCTTTCTGTCTTGGAACTAGACATAAAGAAATTCTCTGATTTACCTTGTTGGGTAGTAGGTCTGTGCTTTCCATCTCAGAAGTGGTCCTAACCAATACTGGAATGAAGGAATGTGACATATAGAGTCCATGAAGGCTCTCAACAGACAGAACTTGTAGGTTTTCCCCACTCCATTGAATCAGCATTAAATTATGTCCTTTTGTCCAATCACAGTTCTACATGTTTACTCATGTTCCAACCATGCTCATGCAATAATTGAAAACCTAAAATGATAGTGTTCAGGGAGCTTCTTTCTTTCATACAGAACAGATATGGAAGAAGCTCTAGGCCCTTTCTCCTGTATTGCATCCTGTACATCTCTTCATTGCTATTCTTTAAAATATCCCTTTGATAAACCAGTAAAATGTAAGTGTAGTGTTTCCCTGAGTACTGTGAGCTGCTTTAGTATATTAATTAAACTAAAGGAGGGGTTTGTAGGAACCCTAGTTGGTAGCTGGTTGGTCAAAAGTTCCAGAGGAATGGACTTGTGACTGGAGTCTAAAGTGGGGGGAATCTGGTGGGTCTGGGGTCTCAACCTGTGGGCTGATGCTACTTTTGGGTATATATTGTCAAAATTCAATTAAGTTAGAGGACATCTAGTTTGTGTCCAGTACAGATTTGTTGCTTGCTTGCTAGTCGAGAGGCATTCCCATACATTTTGGGATCAAGGAGGTGGTCTGTGTTGTGGGTATGTCATAGGAAAGACTAAATTGGAGTTTTGTTTGTGTGTGTGCGTGTGTGTGTGTTTCCCCTCTATATTGAAAGGGGAAGTAAGAAGGATCTCAAACTCAAAGAGTTGGCAAGGCTGCTGATATGGATGAAATTGTGTCCCCTGCCCCCCCCCCCCCCCCGAAAAAAAAAATTCATGTGTTGATGCTTTACCCAGAGTGTTATGATATTTGTAGATGGGATTCTTTGGAAGGGTATTGGGATTAGATGAGGTTATGAGTGTAGGGTCCTTATAATAGAATTAGTGCCCTACTAAGAACTTGCTCCTTGTCCCTGCCCTATGACCATGTGAGTACACAGCAATATAGCAAGAAGATGGTTCTCTACAAGCCAGTAACAGAGCCCTCCACAGGAACTGAATTGGTCAGCGCCTGGATCTTAGAATTCCCAGCCTCCGAACTATGAGAAAATAAATTCCTGTTGTTTAAACCACTGAGTCTATGGTTATAGCATTCTGAGCTGATTACTAAAATTTTTTTTTTCTTCTGGAGCACTGAGAGAGAATTTTTTGTTGTTATTGTTCACAGTACTGGGGATTGAAACCAAGGTGCTCTACCACTAAGCACCACCTCCAGCTCTGTTTAAATTTTGAAACAAGTTCTCAGTAAGTTGCTGTGGCTGGCCTCAGACATACTATCCTCCTGCCTTAGCTTCCCAAATAGCTGGTATTACAGGTAGGCACCACCATACCCAATAAGAATTTGTTTCCTTCCAAAACATTTCTAACTCCTAAAGGCCACTCATATTCTTTAGTTTGTGGCTCCTTCCTTGTGTTAGTCAGCTATTTTGTCACTGTGACCAAAATACCTGACAAGAATAACTTAGAGGAAGAAAAGTGTTTGGGGGCTCATGGTTTTAGAGGTCTTAGGCCACAGTTGGCCAATTCTATTGCTCTAGGCTTGAAGTAAGGCAGAACATCCTGTGAAAAGGTGTTGTGAAGGAAAGCCTCTCAGCTCATGGCTTCTCAGCTCAGCTCATAAGAAGCTGAGAGAGAGCGAGAGGAGCCAGGGACAAGATATATAATCCTTAAGGGCATGCTCCCAGTGACCTGCTTCCTCCAGCCACACACCACCTGTCTATAGTTACCACCCAGTAACCCATACAGATTATTAATTCATCAAATGGAATAGTCCACTGACTAGGCTATAGGTCTCATAATAAATCATTTAACCTCTGAAAATTCTGCATTGTCTATTACAGGCCTTATTGGGGAATACCTCATATCCAAACCATAACATTCCTCTTTTTTTTTTTGGTGGTGGTGGTACTAGGGATTGAAACCAGAGATACTCTACCATTGAGCTACATTCTCAACTCTTTTTATTTTAAAAATTGAGACAGCGTTTTGCTAATTGCTAAGCCTGGCCTTGAATTTGAGATCATCCTGTCTCAACTGCTCAAGTAGCCAGGATTATAGGTGTGCCCCACTATACCTTACTCCTTCTTCTTTTTTTTTGGAGGGGGGAGGGGGGAAGGTGGTACCAGGCATTGAACTGTGGGGCACTCAACCACTGAGCCACAACCCCAGCCCTATTTTGTATTTTATTTAAAGACAGTGTCACTGAATTGCTTAGCGCCTCACTATTGCTGAGGCTGGCTTTGAACTCACGATCCTCCTGAGCCGCTGGGATTCCTTCTCTATCTTTAAAGCTAGCAGTAGCATCTTCAAATCTCTTTCTGACTTGGACTTTTATGCCTCTGTCTTCTATCAGCCCACCTTGATAATCTGCCATAATCTTCTCATTTTAAGATCACTTGATAAGCAACTTTAAACCCAGTTACAACTCAGATTCTGGGAATTAAGGTGTGGACATCTTTGGGGACCCCTATTCTGGCTACCACATGGACTAACAATGGTTTGAAACTTCAGGACATTTATTATTTACTAAACAAGAAGCTTGGAGGTGGGAGCTTCTAATGTTTACCTAGCAGGTTAACTATATCATCAAAATCCCATACTCTTTCTTCCTTACCTAGTATCTAGTATTTTAAGTTTTAGTATTTTTCAGCTGAGACCAATGAGGCTGAATTCCAATCAAGTTAAAAACATGTTCTTGACATACCTCTGATTTTCATAATGGTATCAATCCTGTTCAATTTATGAAAACTACTTTTCATTATCAGAACTTTATTTCTGTTCTCTACTGAAATGATCTAAAATAATAAAGGCAATCTATAGTAAAATTAACAAATAATTTCGTAAGCAGATCATATTGTACTGTTGATAATGGCGATGCTCCTGAAATGGAAATGTTGTCGGGCAGATGGCACCATGATGAGAAATCCTCGCATTTCTCAGCCAATATATCAAAATTCAGTTTTGATGTATGCTCAGTATACTACTTACTTAAATAATTACTTCAATAAATATTTATTGGGTGTCAGGCATTGTTCTAGGAGCTGAGATTATAAGCCATGAAGAAAAGCAAGAAAAGATCTGACTTCATGTTGTTTACTATCTGGCTAGAATAATCCCAAAATGCAAATGAAAGTCCAAGATATTATTTTTTATTTTTTAAGATATTTATTTATTTTTAGGTGTAGATAGACACAACACAATGCCTTTATTTTTATGTGGTGCTGAGGATCAAACCCAGGTCCTGCCCGTGCGAGGCGAGCACTCTACTGCTGATCCACAATCACAGCCCATTCCAAAGGTATTATTTTTGATCTACCAGATTAGTAATGATAGGACACTCATGTTTTGTCTAAATTGATATGTTTGGGGCCAAACAGGGTCTTATTCATTCTAGGCAAGTGCTCTGGCATTGAGCCAAAGATAAATCTAGCACACACCTGAAGATAAATTTAAGTGTCTATTTGACCCAGATAATTTTTACCTTTAGTAATCTATTATAATTGAAGAATCAGACATACAGACCAAGGTTTGCATTCATCAAGTTTGTTTACCACATCATCTTTAAGTGAAAAATTAGAAACAACTTAAAAATTCACTGAAAGGGAAATGGCTAAATAGCTTATACCCATAAGCCTGCTGTAAATATATTAAAATGATATTTTTAAAGCTGTTGTTGTCGTTGGAAAATACTCATGCTACACTGTTAAGTAGGTTAAAATTTTCTGATTAAAAACTATATATCTAAAACATTAATAATGTTGTTTCTGATTTGTATGATTATAGATCAGTTTTTTATTGTCCAAGATTTTTAGAATGAGCATATTTTTTATAACTAGAAAAAAATGTATTCTTTTAAAAGAAAGTAATCTTCATTGGGAGACTGTAAGTGACACATGTGTCTCTTGGATATTTCAAGCATTTTATTAAAACATAGCCTGAGGGCTGGGGTTGTGGATCAGTGGTAGAGCACTTGCCTAGCATGCATGAGGTACTGGGTTCGATCCCTGGCACCACATAAAAAAAATAAAATAAAGGTATTGTGTCCATCTACAACTAAACAAACAAACAAAAACATAACCTGAGCTAGTTTGGGCCACTCGAAGAAAGAATATGATTATTCTTCTAAGTTCTATTTGTGATATGAAAAGCTAATACAAATTTGAACAATATTCCACTTAGCCAATATTTTTTTTCTAGTAGCAAGCAGACTTTTATTAAGGATAACGAAGATATCTTATTTGAAAATATTATCTAATGGAAAATAAAATAATCGCAATTATCTTTTAATCATAATTCATTTTGAGTTTTAAATAATTTCATAAATGTGGTGTGTCGAAAATGCTGATTTTTTTTCCTTAATTTTATCATTCCTTAAGCATATCATTCACATTGAAAAGTTCCAAAACTTCATTTAAGCTTAAAAAATAATTTAAGAATTAACTTAGAAGTTTTTAAAAAAGATTCTTGGAACTGGTAAGTTTATACTTTCATCAAATTAAAATGAAATTTTGATTTTTGAAATAAAACCAAATTTTCCTGCTTCTTTACATGCCTGATTTTAAACTGATTTTTAAAAAAAATATCTTTATTTTACATTTATGTGGTGCTGAGGATTGAACCCAGTGCCTAGTGCATGCTAGGTGAGCACTCTACCATTGAGCCACAACCCCAACCCCATAAACTGATTTTTTTCTATATTTTTTTGTTGGTGCATTATTGTTGTACATATTGATGGAATTTGTTGTTACATATTTGCACATGCACACAATATAATTTCCATTTAGCTAAATATTTTTAAACAAATTCAATATAGTAGCTCAAAAACTTAGCAGATCTTTAAATGAAAATATGTTAGAATAATTGCTTGATTTTTTTTAAGGGTTTTTTTTTTTTTTTTTTTTTTTTGGTAGTTATAGATGGACAGAATGTCTTTATTTTATTTGTTTATTTTTATGTGGTGCTAAGGATTGAACCCAGTGCCTCACACATTCTGGGCAAATGCTTTGCCACTGAGCTACAGCCCCAGCTGAATTGCTTGACTTTTTATCAGGAAACTGTTAGTTGCTTCTATACACCGAGTAAAACATTAACTTTTTGGGTTTTTTTTGCAATAACAAGAAGTAAGGAAAGCTACGGGCAACTCTGAGACCTTGCAAAACAACTTGCAAGAAAAATGAAGCTCCCGATTTTCGTAGTAGATGCATTCACAGTAAGAGCATTTCGTGGGAATCCTGCTGCTGTTTGCCTCCTAGAAAATGTAAGTACTTGATTTTCAAGTGCAGTACTTGAACTTTATAGATTCCTATAGAACCAATTACTTCTTTAAAAAAAAAGCCAGGTGCGGTAGTACCTGAGGCTGAGGTAGGAGGATCACAAGTTCAAAGCCAGCCTCAACAACTTAGCAAGGCCCTAAGCAACTCAGTGAGACCCTGTCTCAAAATAAAAAAGATTGGGGATGTGGCTCTGTGGTTAAATTCCAGGTACCAAAAAAAAAAAAAAAAGGAGACTCTGCCCTGCTGTTTACTTCTTTGGTTTTTGTGTTCTTTTGACATGATATCAGTGGTATTCATGTTGTCAAGTTTATTATGACCAGATTATGTGACGAGAATGCTTATACCTAGGCTGATTTCAGAGAAGTGAAGATTCATATAAAGAGAATCTAGAGTCAATTTAAAAAGAACTAGCTAGGTACACTGGCGCAGCCTGTAATCCCAGCTACTCAGAAGGCTAAGGCAGGAGAATCACATGTTTCAGGCCAACCTGGGCAATTCAGCAAGAATTTGTCTCAAAAAAAGGGAGGTTGGGGGAGTAGGGGGTGACTAGGAATGTAGTTTAGTGGTAGAGCACTTGCCTAGCATGCATGAGGCTCTGGGTTTAATCCTTAGTACTACAAAACAACAACAACAACAAGAATGTGGTCTTCCATTAGCCATCAGGGTTCCATTTAGTTAGCACCAAATGTTGAGGGGAATGAAATTAGAAATTGAATCAGTTTTATGTGATTAAATGTGTCTGATAATAGATTTGTCATAACTAAGACTGAATATTTTTAACCTTACTTCTAGCTTAGACATTTAGAAATTCTTTTCAGGACCAAGAAAATGAGACATTTTGTAAGGAATTAAGTAGGTAGAGAGGTAGAAAGAACCAAGCTCTGAATGTACAGAACTTAGCTTACCAAAAGTCTTATTTTTAAAATAACTTTTTGAAGCCAGATGTGATGGCACATTCCTGTAATTCCAGCTACTTTGGAGGCTGAGGCAGGAGGATAACAAGTTGGAGGCCAGTTTCAGCAAATTAGTGAGACCCTGTCTCACGATAAAATAAAAAGGGCTGGGGATGTAGCTTTGTGGTAGAGTACCCCTGGGTTCAGTCCCCAGGACTGCCCAAAACAAAAACAAACAAACAAACACAACTTTTGGGTTAGGATAAATGTTAATGGAATAGTTAAATATTCTTGACTTTGTAATTTTGGGGGGGTAGTAAGAAACAGATGATCTTAAATAAGTCATATAAATTGGGCAAATTGTGCACTGGGGCTTTTGCAGTGAATCTGTTTGTTACATAAGAAACTATTGATTCCTGGGGCTGAGGCTCAGTAGAGCTCTCGCCTCACATATGTGAGGCTCTGGGTTCGATCCTTAGCACCACATAAAAATAAAACAAATAAAAATAAAGGTATTGTGTCCAACTACAACCGAAAAAAAAAAAAAGAAAGAAACTATAGATTCCTATCCCTGGACCAACTGCAACAAATTCCTTGGAGGTGAGACCCAAGCAGCCCTGTTTTTCAAAGCTCCCCAAGTGATTCCTGTGTGTAATCAAGTTGAAAAACTGCTGAGGTTTGACTGAAATTGGTCAATATTGTTGATTGAGTCCTTGGAACACTTCTTTCTCCCTCAGTGGAGAAGGAAAATGTGATCAAGTGTCCTTACCTTGCCCTACCTGTGCATTCCTTATGCAGCCTTGCAGCTGAGAAGGTAATAAGTCAATAGACTTTATCCAGTAACACAAGAGTGTGGGGAGATTAGTGAGAGGATTATTAACCAGATTCCAAATCGTGAACTTTCATTAGGAACAATCTGGAAAACATAACTTCCTGTCAAGGAATTGTGGAATTGACTATAAATGCTTGTCAAGAGTCTTAATATATTTGTCCCATCTTCCCATGGAATATTATTGAAGAATTCTGAATATAGTTTTGAGTGATTTATATATTTAGTTTTTACCAGATAATAAAAATTGGCATTATTTCCCAAATTACTCCTTTTATCTTCAGAACTCTTACTAAACATCAGATCTAAAGGACCTATTTCTATCTATCCATTAAAATATATTTGTATGTTATTTATATATTTGGAAAAACTATCAATAAAAATTTAAGTGAAGTTCTTAACAGTTCAGTAAAAATGAAAGGAGGAAAAAGATAGGAAGTCCATGACTCAGGGAAGCTCTCAATCTTCTAATTATTCACTTCTTTTTGGCCTTGGACCTATAAGACTAGCTAATTTGATTGACTGTCAGGGTCACCTGAATAGGTATCTAAAGATTATTTTGTTAAGCTTCTTAATCATGTTTTTTCACTCTTCATTGGACATGAGAACCTTGTCTTCCTGGAGGCTGACATAGCATTTTCTAATTCACAATCAATAAAAATTATAATAAAAGTGACAAACATGATCCTTGAATTCTGGATATGGTGCATACCCAAAACACTTAGAGAAAATGCAAGTGAACACAGGAAAATATCAAAGATAAATAAATGCTAAACCTTATAATATTGATTACAATTCCAAAGGCAGTCAGCTTACCTTAATGCATTCTACAAATATTTATCAATATCTACCACAAGCCACTCTGGGCTAGGGGTCAGGGTTATAAAGATTAACAAGTCGATCAGATCTGTAAGTACACAAAGTCTAATGATAGAAATAGATATGGATATCTCATCCTTATTCAGTAATCACCACAGAGGCTAAAAGACCTAAAGGTAGCAAGTATAGTAGGGACTTGGAGGATTGAACAATGTTGGGTTTTATGGAGGACAGAAATACTTGAGAATTTAAGTGCAGGGCTTCAATAGAATTTTTGTTGTGTTTTGTACAGTTATATTTTAACTTATTTAAAATTTGACCAACAATCTTTTATCAAGTATTCAAAAACGAGGGATTGAATCCAGGGGCACTCTAACTCTGAGCTACATCTCTATTCCTTTAAAATTTTAAAAAATTTTGAGATCGTCTCATAAAGTTGCCAAGGCTGACCTCAAACTTGTGATGCTTCTACCTTAGCATCATAAATCACTAGCATTATAGGTGTGCGTCACCATGCCCAACGAAGGTAAAAAAATTTTGAGAAATGAAGTTCCAAGGGTTTCTATAATATTCTAAAGGTTTTTCGTTTTCAAGATAACTCCATTTTAAAAATTTCACAAGGATATTCTTTCACTTTAAGATTGTACAATAGGTGAAAACACAGAGATCAAGAGCTAAGTGGAAAAAGGAAGAGATATTTGAAAAAAAAATAACACTTTAAAAAGTTGATGGCGTTCTCAAATACCTTACAGTGTTTGACAATAAGGGCCAAATGGAAAATATATATAGAAATAATGTAATAATAAGGTGGATACATTATATGACAACTATGTAAAAAATTACTGAGACCCACGACTAATACCGGAATTTAGTCCGGTAGTGATAATGAGTGGTATTTTGTTTATTTTTGGGTAAATCAGCTGTAATATTTAGTGAAAATAACATATCAACCGGGAGAGGGAATCTATATTGAGTCTCCCTCATATTCTAACAAAGTCTCAGGGTTTTTTGTTTTGTTTTGTGGTTGTTGTTGATGATGGTGGTGGTGGTGTGTGGGTGGGTTAGAACAGGGTTTCTCAACAATAACACTATTCACATTTTGAATGGTTCTTTTTTTTGTATGGGGTAGTTATTGCATTGTAAGGTTTTTAGCAGTATCCTTGGTCTGAAGGATATAGTATGAAGTATCCTTCCCAGAAGATGAGAGTAGTACCTCCCCAGTTAGGACAATCAAAACTGTCTTCATACATAGCCAATAGTTCCTTAGGGCAAAATTGTTCCCAGTTGAAAACTGATTGTTTCAGAGGATATCTATTCTTTAAAAAATAAAAAAAATATATATATATATATATATATATATATATATATATATATACATTTTTTTTTAGTTGTTGATAGACCTTTGTTTTATTCATTCATCTATATGCAGTGCTGAGAATCGAACCCAGTGCCTCACACATGGCAGGCAAGTGCACTACCACCGAGCCACAGCCCCAGTTCCCTCAGAGGATACTTATTGTAAGAGGGGTTTATTCTTGAGTTTTCCTGTTAAAATTATTTAAGAAAAGAAACTGTGTTGTGTGTCCAATGTATTTACTCCAGTTCAGCTGACATTTATTGGGTGGGTGTCTACCATGCTCTGGGTACCATGTGAGGACCAAATATAGAATTCATATATATGCACTATTTTCCTCATCAACACTAACAATAATTTTCAGTAATAGCAGGGAAGAGTTTTATTTATTTATTTATTTTTAGTTCTGGGATTAAACCCAAGGCCATGAACATGCTAGGCAAGTGCTATACCATTTATCTACACTCCTAGCCCTGCAAGCAGGATTGGCTTCACATTTTTACAAAGGAATGCTTAGTTTTAGTTCCTCAACTGCTTGCTGCTCCAAGTTCCCTGGTGAAATTAAGAGAAAACCAAAAATGTGTTTACAGCTTGGTGGGGTTTTATAGTTAAGAGAAATCAGACATTCAGCAATACTGTGTTTAATCCATGCTTTAACTCATGTGGAGAAGCTTATGATGCAGTGGCCATTTCCAGACTTGGTGCCCTTCCTTAGAGAAAGGATCATTGGCTAGGTGTGACCACAGTGATCAGAGGCCCCTGGGGTTTCTAGAGTGTTCCCACCTTATATCTCATTAGTATGCCCAGAGAAGAGATGAAGAGCTCAGAGAAGGTTCTTCTAGGGAGACTGAGGGTTTTTCTTTGCCTCGTATTTGAGGGAAGAGCATAATGCAAAGGATGAGATGCTTATGTGGGAATTTCTGCTTCCCATGTATCTTCTCTGACCTCTGGAATATAATCCTCTGTGTTGGAGCAGTGACTTCAGGCAAATTCAGTCAGATATTATGTTGTTTTTTTCATGTATCTCACTTTACCTCACTACCACTCTGGAGTAGGTCTTATTTTGTCCCCATTTTACACATCAAGGAA